CTGAGTAAGAGACAGAATAAACAGAAAAGGGCTTGAAAGTGGTATTGGCTAAAATACTTTGTAGGACAGAAGCTAACAGGAAGCTAATTTTTAAAAAAAGATTATTTATGCATACAGGAACTGGGGTATATGCCAAAGGTGTGGGGGATAAGATTTACCAGAGACAGAATGAGGAGCAGAACAGGCAATTCTACTGAAATACACTGCTGAGGTGAGCAGCAGGTAAGACAGGAGAGATCTGCTGTGCCATGTGGGTCAGCTCATGCCACAGTGGGGATTGAGCTCATGCCACAGTGGCCAGCCATAGTTTGATAGCACTGAGACTTAACCCCTTTACCACCAGGAAGGCCCCAGAAAACTAATACTTTTGATGAATATCTTCTCCCACAAAGTTCTTTGGTTGAAATTATCTCAACCTGAGGACTTTGATCCCCACATTTCCACATAATGGTTCTAACTATGCTTTGTCAGGTACTTTGCTGATGTTTTATGTCTGTTTTCTCTTTTAACCCTCCCAGTAGCTCTCCAACTTCTGGCCAGAAACCATTCCCAGAGAGGCTGAGTAACTTTTCCAGGTCATGTCATCAGAACACCTTCCAAATTTCACATCTTGTTACCCAGCTCTGGTTGAGCTCATCCATTACCTAATTGAAATATGCTTGTTTCTCCAGTGTGAGTTCATCTTGAATTCTGTTAGAAAAAATTAATTTGCATGAATTGACAAAAATGTGAAAGCACAGTATTTCAAGTCTTTTCCACCTAGTTAAAAACTATTTGATTGGCAAAGTATGGTAGGTGGATTTTTATCGTAGATTGAAGTTCAGAATCCTAAGAATTTTTGTTCTTCAGTTCTCATTGAGTTATTTATTCAGAATTTTTTATTAACATTCTGCTTCGTTAATAATTTGTAAATTTGATGATATGAAAGAATAAGGATAAGAAAAATAAGTGATGGACATTTTGAACAAGAATGGGAGTGAAGATGGATGTAGAGTGTTTTCAAACCAGAAATCCTGTGATTCAGTACATTCAAAGATTATGCTAAGGTTCCACCTTAAAACTCTCGCACAACTTCTAGTCACTAATTGCTTTCCAAGTTAAGAAAGTTGCTTCTGTGAAAGTACAGTATTAACTACTTTGTGGACCTTGAACCCATTTCTTAGAAACAGTGGGGTGGAGCTAAATTAGAGAGAAAAGTTCTTGGAGAGCAAATAGTTTAAGTTGGCAGTGGACTTAGAATGAACCAAAAGACAAAATAGCATAGCTCATGAGTAAACCAGCAAATTGAGACAATGAACTGCATTGTTGTGGTGTTCTTATTTATTCGTCAGTACCCTTTTTTATTCTGGGAGAAACTCAGCATGGATCTTCTTAAATTAAAGCTATCAAAGAAAACAGACTAAAACAACTTGAGTTTACCTCCTGTTAAGTAGAATTTCTAAAGAGAATGTGTTAAGTATGTTAGATTGACTTAGACGATGAGTCTAGATACTTAGAACATATCACTTAAAAGTGAGAGTAGTGGGCCCTCCCTGGTGGCACAGCAGGTTAGAGCACAGCACTGTGGGGGCTAAAGCCACTTCTGCATGAGTTTGTTCCCCACCTGCCCTGGAGGTGACCACATGGCGAGGCAGACATCTCCTGGCCCGCCCGCTGCTCCCCTCAGCAGTGTACTTCATCTATCTGCCTGGTCTGCTCCCCGCTCTGTGTGTGCTGAATCCTCGCCGTCCCTGCACCTCCGGCCTGTACCCAGTTCTGTATCCATAAATAAATAAATCTTTAATAAAAAAGAAAAAAGTAGGAGTACAAAGAATATAATTACTTCTTGTGCTTTTTTTTTTTTAATGCACACAGAACTGGGGTACAAGCCAGAAGTTTGTCCTCATTTGATATAATTTGAGTTTAGCGTAATCCTCCCCATGAGTTTTTTTCGAGAACAAGACTTTAGTGAACATAATAATTTGCCAGTATGGGTTTGAGTTGTGTCTACAGTGTATGTTTTATGTAAATTTCCGCCAGATTTGTGCCTTCCTATTCATATACCATTGGGCAGACTTTGCTTAGGATTTTTACAAGAAATCCTTTGTCCACTGCCAGTGAAAGGAAGTAGATTCTGTTTCTACTGTTTCCTAGTGGTTTGAAAGTGAAGTACATTGTACAAATGTTATACTTCAAAACAAGTGTTTTACATACTCTAAAAAGGCATTGTGAGATTTGGGCTAGGAATTATTAGGTCACTGACATGATTATAGATCTGCGTTAATCAGGTGTCTCTAGTTGGTAATGAGGTGCTTAAATAATTAGCAATCATGCATCTTCAAAAAAAATCTAAAGGGAAGAATATGTAAAAGTACTTCTTGTTTTACATTCTTTGTTAAAAATCATAATTTGTCATCACTCAGATACCAGTGATCTCTCCTATCTACCATGAAGTGCTGCCCCCTACCATTGTTACCATTGTGCCATCATTGAGACTTTGATTGCTCTCTTGTTGAGTATTCTAGAGTGTGTTGGCTTTTTTTTTTTTTTTTTTACTGTTTATTATAAAAACTTCATGGGCAAAGATCTCATTATATATCTCTAATCTAGTTCCTTTATGGCAATAAATAGTAATGATACTAAATTGTTAAGCTCTATAACTGTAAAGTAATATTGTATCTAGTATTGAACTTTGATTATCCTAACTGATGCTTTACCTTGTCCTTTGCTGAAAGTAAGAACCTATTTATTAAGCTTGATGTCATAAAATCATGGGATAGAACTGAAGAGGGAGAATAGATGACCGAATAAGTGTGCTTTTGACTTAAGCATTCTTAACTCCCTGAATCTACAAATATTATATCCAAAGTATTACTCTTCTGGGCATCCCTGGTGGCACAGGGGATAGCTATAACACTACCACCATGATGACCTGTTTTCAGCATCCCCCAGGGAGCGGACCCGCAGCAGACCTCTCCTGGCTCACCTTCTGTTCCCCACTCTCTCTGCCTCTGGTGAATCCTCTCAACTCAACCCCCCAAACCTCTGGTCTACACTCCAGTTCTTCAATGACTAAATAGTTTTTTAAAGTAAAAGTAAGTTCTCCTGTTCTTTCCCTCTTAGTAATGTTCTCATAGTACCCTATTTAATTCTTTCAGAGCACTAACCTCGCCATGATATTGTTGTTTCTCTCCATTTGTCTTGTGGAGACTAATGTTTGTCTTAATTACTGTTGGAACTAGATTGAACTCAGTTTGTCAATTTAAAAACCTGATAAATATTTATTGCTCACAGCATGAATACATGCTTGAATTCTAAAGCACACTTTGATCCACAAGCTGGAGTTGAGGAACAAATAAGGAGAATCCACCAGCACCTTCCTACACCCCCCCCCCCCCAACTCCAGCTACAGGAGGTTTTGCTCCTCGGCTGATGTACCTGATGGCCTTTTACTTGAAGTGAAGCTACAAAGTGATAGTGAAGATACAAGGCTATCTAAACTTAATTTAATATTGAATATCCAATTGATGACTTGTTTTTGGTGTTCTTAGCTCTGTTGTCCTAGCAGGGCAGAAATGGATATAAATTTCGAGTACACTTTTTGCCTAGGGCAACAATAGACCTTTCCTTCAAATTTGAATTAGCTGAAGTCTGGTTGTCCTATATGTGTAAATTCATTCTTAATATCCTGATTAAACACAGGACATCTAATTAGGTGAATTTTCTGATGCACTTGCTTTTTTTTAATCTCCTCACATTTATGATTAAAAAGCTGTATAGCAGTTAAATTTCATTAGTGGCATCCATTTGTCATACAAATTACCTGTTTCCTGCAACCCAAGAGCTCTTATCTTAGATTTATTTTATTTCATGCTGTACCAAACCAGCTGTGCCCTTTGCCCCTCTCCCCACTCTTCCTCCCTCCATACTGTCCCTTCTGGTAGTCATTATATACTTTTTGCTGCATTCAATACTTGTTCCTATTATTCTTTGTATGTGAATGTGCTATTTATACACCATGGAAGAGTGAAAGCATCCAGAGACTGTCTCACTTTTTGACCTATTTTACTCAACAAAAATCACCTTGAGATCCATCCATTTTGTCCCAAATGCCACCATTTTATCTTTCTTCACAGCTTTGTAGTGCTCCTTTGAGTATATATTCTACAATTTTTCTGTCCATTCATCTGTTGAAGGGCACTTGGGTTGGTTCCATGATTTGGCAATTGTGAACTGTGCTACTTTGTATATAGGCATAGACATACTTTCTATATTAATTAGATTTTTCATATTATCTGGATAAATACCTATTGGGGTATTGTTGGATAATAGGAATTTCCATTTTTATTTTCTTAAGAAATCTCCACGTCATTTTTCACAGGGGCTGCATCAATTTGCTTACCCACCAACAGTGGATGAGAGTTCCTTGCCAGCATTGTTTATTCCATTCCTTTTTCACAGGGCTTAGGTGGTGTCTCAATGTTGCTTTAATTTGTATTTCTCTAAGTGATGTTGAACAACTTTTCATATGTCTGTAGGCCATCTTTAGAAAAATGACCATTTTGGCCCTCCCTGGTGGCGCAGCGGGTTAAAGCACTGCACTACGAAGCTTAAGCCACTTCCTCATGAGTTCGATTCCCGCCTGCCCCGGAGGAGTCCACATGGCGAGGCAGACCTCTCCTGACCCGCCCGCTGCTCCCCTCGGCAGTGTACTTCGTCGATCTGCCTGTTCTGCTCCCCACTCTGTCTCTGGTGAATCCTCTCTCCCTCCGCATCTCTGGCCTGTTCCCCAGTTCTGTACGAATAAATAAATAAATAAAATCTTTTAAAAAAAAAGAAAAAAAAAAGAAAAAAGAAAAATGACCATTTAAATCCTTTGCTTATTTTTTTCATTGGGTTGTTGGTTTCTACTATGCAAGAAGAGGCCTCAGGCATTGAATGAAGTTGCACATAAAAAAGTATTTATCAAGAAAACAGATTTCATGTCCTTAAGTCATTATCTGTTATTATGTTTCTTAAAGAATCTTCTGCGGACTCAACTTGTGCTGGCAAAATGAACCATTCCCACCACATGGGGATGCACTCGATGGACCACACCATGCCGCCTTCGCACCTTCACTCGACCACGTCACCTTCCCACTCCCATGGCGGCGGGAATGACCACATGATGATGGTGAGTTGCCACAGAAAAGGCAGCCGGGCCCCCACTTGGGTAGCTGAATTTTAGGTTATTGGCTTTAAAGGCCAGTTACTGGTAAGTAGGCTCGGGCAAGTCAAGTGATTTCCCAAGATCATGTAGCAGGTGCACTATGGAGCCACACCAGAACTGGGATTAGAAGGCATCTTCTCTATTTCATTCCTTCAAAATGGACCCTTTTCTGAGTTAAGTTCTGGTCTTTGTGCTCTGTGGAGGAAAGGGAAAGTGGCAAAAGTTGAAGGAGGGGGTAAAGAAGAGTGCTTGGGGAGAGTACCTCTCTGAAATGAGGAAGCAAGCTCCTCCTTCAGTGAGTGTCTCTTGTCCAGATTTGCTTTTAAATGTTCTAAGCTTCTTATCTGAAATTTTCCCTTAGGATTGTCAATCACATCTTATTGTTTGGTTTTTGACAGCCTATGACCTTCTACTTTGGTTATAAGAATGTGGAGCTCCTGTTCCCTAGATTGGTGATCAACACAGCTGGAGGTGGGTAAGCCACGATGTGGTGATTTTAAAAGGTGACAATCACAAGATTGAAGATGACACAGAATTTGGAGTCTGCCACTTATTTTTGCATAATTACTGAATCAGTGTATTGATACTTGTTTCCTGTTACCTATTTAGAAGGCAAGAATACATAGTATTTATTTTGGTCCTCAGTAAACTTTCTGTAAATAACCTGTGTATGTTTTAGTGTTCATGAAAAATAATTCAGACCCCCCAAATAGGCATCTTTTTCAATCCATTTCCCTTCATCCTTTTCCAATTATCTTTGTTTAATAAGTTATTGGTCCTAGACTTTAAAAAAAAAAAACACCTAAACTATAGTCAAGTTTGAATGATATGCAAAGGATTTTATACATAAACACCAAAAAACAACCATGGCTTAATCCTAGTATCCATCTACTTTATAGATAAGTAAAGCCTGAAACAGAAAAATGATTAGCCCTAAACCACATAGACCTAGCATGTTAGAGCTAGGAGAGAAACATCTACCCAATCTATGCTCTTTCTAGCATCCAAAACCATGGTCTACATCCTTCCTGATTCTTAGCATAGCCCATGAATACCGGTCAGTCCTAGTTTGGGAGAAGCCAGGCACCATTTGTTTGTGTCTTAATGTTGATTTTGTGTGCCTTCAATTGAAATAAAAAATGATTCAGACCCCCAAATAGGCATCTACAAAATCAGTTTATAGAAGACAGAGTGTATTTAGGTTAGGTAGTATGTTAAAGCAGCAATTTGAATACATTTACCTCATTATCAGTTTGACATGTCTACTTAGGAAATAGAGTCAGCGTCTAAAAATAAATGTTTTATTTCTCTCTTGCATACTTTACATTGTATATTCAATGAAATATGCTAATTTAATGACATTTTTAATGACATAATTTAAGAAGCCAAACACAAAGATTATTATTGTTTAGGTGATTTTATGTATTTTAATCAAATGAGTGTGTTCTTCAGTGGAAGCAGTGGTTTTTACTGACGCTAACCAGTTGTTCTACTTGTGCAAGCATAGAACAATCTATGTATTTAGAAACCCAGAGTAGTGCTTTTTCTGTGTTGTATTTATAGTTTGGACAGCATGCCAGCTAATGACTTTGCACGTGTGTGACATACAATCTTTCCCTTGCCTGCTTAGAAATGGCTGGAGCTTTTGTGGCAGTGTTTTTACTAGCGATGTACTATGAAGGACTCAAGATAGCCCGAGAGAGGCTGCTGCGCAAGTCACAAGTAAACATTCGCTACAATTCTATGCCTGTTCCAGGACCAAATGGAACCATCCTTATGGAGACGCACAAAACTGTCGGGTAAGAAGACAGGACAGTTCCAGATGGAATTGCTGGAGAGCTGGCTTAGTTAAACAGCAAAGCCGCTATTTTTAGCAAAAACCCTCTTGAATTAGTGGTTTCATATGCCCTTGATCAAAACTGTCTTTGGAGGCTTGGAGCTGTGGGTCAAGAGCAGGCCAAAGGACTGATAGGTAGCCTTCAACAGCAGGAATGTTTGTTCTGAGCTGTAAGTACTGGTCACCTTGGAAGGAAGGAAGAAATTCATGGTCTAAAATATGTTTCCAAATAATAAAAAGAAATAAGAAGGGGAATTCAAGTCAGGGCACAGTATACAGCAGGATCAGTTGACTCCTTCAGTTAGCAGTTGCATTTAGCTCCAGTCTCATTTTGTTTGTAAGACTGTTCAAAGGTCTGTGTTCTGAGACAGCACTTGGATGACAATTGGTTTTTGCCGCAGATTGGCAAGTAATTTTTGAGATTCAGTTTTAAGAGGAATAAGCACAGTATTATTTATTCTCATTGTGCCAATGAGTGTATTGAGGCCCGAATGCCTTGTAATTTACCTAAGGTGGCAGAACTATGGATAGTAAGGAGCAGAGGAGATAAGTGACCAGGTCTCCTGACCCTTAATTAAGTAGTTTCTACTTGTGACCCAACCCTCAAGTCTGTCCCATTTTTGTAGAATGTGAACTTTGCAAAGATGGAAGCCCTGAAAGCATCAGGCATCCCAATGTGGGAGGGTTTAGGGCTTCCCTTTCAGGATCTAAGGTGAAGGTCAGCCAGTGGGTTACTCCCCTTTCCACTCTTCTCCTCCCCAGGCTGGTGCCTCCTGCTGACATGTAACCATATCTAACCTGTGCCTATAACCCTAACATCCCTGTTGTGCTTCATCTCCAGAGACCAGTAAACACATACGTTACACAGAAATACCCATGTGTTTCCAGGGAAGCTTGAGTCTAGTGCAAACTCAGTTGGTGGCTACATTTCTGGGTGCAGATCTGAACGTTAGGGGTCTCTGAATGCTGTGTCGTTATTTGCTCTCCAGGCAACAGATGCTGAGCTTTCCCCACCTCCTGCAGACGGTGCTGCATATCATCCAGGTGGTCATCAGCTACTTCCTCATGCTCATCTTCATGACCTACAATGGCTACCTCTGCATTGCTGTAGCGGCAGGGGCTGGCACAGGCTACTTTCTCTTCAGCTGGAAGAAGGCAGTGGTGGTGGACATCACGGAGCATTGCCATTAATGTCAGACTCCATGGTGTGGCCTTATCGATTGCAGTGGCAAGCAGTTCAAGACTGGAAGACTCGCTTCTTGTCTCCTTGCATACACACATCCACACGTACATCTACTCAACAGAGTTTAGCGTACCATCTCTGACCTAAGGTGGTCACTTCTACTGCTTTTTTTTTTTTCTAATGAGCTGAGATTCCCATTTTTCTTGAGGTGAAGCCATCCATGAGATGTCCTCCCCTCCCCCTTCATTGTAGATCTGAGTTATATGTTCTTGCTTAATCCAGATAGTTTTCTAGTCGACGACTTGATCACTTGCTTCATTTTTCTTTTGTTTTTACCTGAATAGCCCATAAGTGAATTTGGTGTGGGTTTCTTGGGTCAAGTGATGGAAAAGGATTAACTTCAGTTAGGCAGATGAGGGAAGTTCTTGCCCAGCTAAACCCAAAATCCAACTTAACACTAAAAAATAAGTTCCAGTTTTTGGACTCAATGAGTGGGCAATACGTTGTGCCTTTCTCTAGGTGTCATGTGTTGCACTGAACTCCTTGTGGTGTGCAGGGCGCGTTTGAACGAAACACAGGACTGGAGCTTTAGAAGTGCCCATGCTTGGGTGGCTGACTCATCAGCTGTGTTCCCACTAAACATTTTGATTAGAATGGTCTTGTCAATCAAAAAAATGACAATCATTTTGAGAAAATAGAAATAATTTTTAAATAAAACCATTAGCATTTTACTTTGACTTGGTACCTTGGTTTGCCACATCTGAATGAAGCAAAAGTTTGAATTGTTTTCTCCTGTTTTTATGTGTCTGCCTCTAGACCAGTGGTTTTCATATTTTAGAATGCATCAGAATCACCTGGAAGTTTCATAAATAGTAGTCACTAGGCCTCAACCCACAGCCCCCAACTTGGTATTTCTAACAGGTTCCCAAGTGACACTCCACATGTTGAGAATCTCTGCTTTAAACTGAGGGATATCACCAGTGGGCGAGCTGCCTGGTATTGGGCATGGAGATTTGGGTTGTTGGTTGGTGGTGGCATATCTCACTTAACTCGTGTATCAAATGCTGCTGGTGAACACGTAATCATTCCATGAACATTTATTCAGCTCCAGCTGTGACTGTGATGCTCAAGGGCACATGTACACAAGACTTTATAGCCCAAGTGGCTTTTCTCAGCATATATGAAATCATGAGTCTTTATTTTTAAAGATCTGTGGTTTCTTAGAGGTAGCTTGAAGGTTGAGAAAGACCTCTGATCCAAAATGTAAATCTGCCGGAAGGGCATAAGCTCAGCCCCTCTTTGGAGAGGCTTAGGGTATGGTCTGCTGATGGCCAGGCTTTCCTTAGCCCCTGACATCATGCCCACACCAGGCAGATCCTCACCCTCTCTGTGACTATCTTTGTGGCTCTAGTGGCTCAATAGATCACAAGTGACCAAAATCTCTGGTCAATAAAGAATCACATTGAGTTTTTCTTCTGTTCGGTTATTGATCTACACCAGTCTTGTTCCCAGTCCAAACTACCTCTGTGAAGTGACTTGTCCTGCGCTGGTCTGTTAAAACCTGCTCTCCTTGGTGCTAGACTTCAACTGTGCCTCAGGGCAGAGGCGGCACAGCACAGCCACCCTGTTGGCCTCTGTGTGGTTTTGGAGTTAGCGCTTTCTCTCTAAGTGCCAGTTAAATCTCGACAAGCAAGGAACATGTGCTTCCTTGGCTTTCCACCAAGACAGAGTTATGAGCCCAGGGGGCTGAGGATGACATCTAAGAGTCAACATTTAGAGTTTGTGTTTGTCTCTCTTTCCTACCCCTTGTAGTACCAATGCTATGCATGAGCAGAGTGAATGACAGGGACTGACAGAGCCCAACACTAAGATGTAAATAGCCTATTATTGTCTCCTATGCCAAGGAATAATAAAACCATGGAGAATAAAGTAAGAATCAAGGTTAAGTAGTGACAGACCCTGGTGCTCTAGAATCCTTGGCATGAGCTGCTATGAAATACCTTGTCAGGAAAGGACCTCACTAGTCAGGTAAAAAGAAATCAAGGTCACTTAAGACAAAGTGTTACGACTTTGAGACACAGAGAGAAGCATCAGTTTGGGGTAGGTCTTCAGGTATTCAAGACACAGTCTCATGAAAGGCTGAATTCCAGAGATTCTTAAACCTTGCTGACATATATATAACCAAAGGTTGCCAAAGGGAGAAGTTAGTGAAGGAAAAATATTGCGTCTTCCTTTTGCTCTTGGATTATGTCATACATTGATCTCAATGACTTTCATTTCGTGTCTCAGTTCATTCTGAAATCAGTGCCTCGCTTATATGTTCCTTTGAGCAAATTTTTTTTCCTCCTTCACTGTTCACCTCTGTTAGAAGCCGGTTTCCCCACTTCTCTGTCCTCTTATTCTGCTCTCCTTTTTCCTTTCATGTCCTTAGTTGAGTAATTCTCCCTAGCCCTCCTGAGGCAGTGGACATTGCCCTGTAGTGTGAATAGACACAAACCAGATTCGTGAGATGTGGTAGAGACCTTAAGCTGTTGTCCCACTGGGATGTCTGTAAGGCTGGGTAAAGGGCTCTCCTAGTGCCATCCACAGAGTTACAGGAACTTAGGTGCTGTTTCTAGCCTATGCAGGGGGAATGCTGAATCCCCATTGCCACACACAGGGAATCCTCTGTGCCCACCAGAAGATTAATATTTCTTCACTACTTCTCTGGAAGAGTGTCTGGAATTCCCTTCCAGGCTGTGGGGCACTGATTAGGTTCTAGCCACAAAGAGCCAGAAGGAGTGGGGTCAGGAGGTGCCCGCTCATGTCATTTAATTTTGACCTTGCCCTCTCCCACTGCTGCTTTCAGAAGATACATCTAAAGATATAAAGTCTGCTTTTGATATAATGCCTTAATCACTGGGTCTACATTTAATGTTGACTGTTTTAGATTGTAAGCTCCTAGAGAGCAGTGTTGCTGTAGAAGGAATGTTTTAACAACGTCGTGCAAAAGAACAAAATAAATATTTTGATTTTGTGATTCTATGCACATCTTTCCACCCACGGTGTTAACAGAAGAGGCTACTTTCTTCGTTGTTCTCAGAGTCTGCCCATTAGCACCAGTGTGTAAGATGCAAGACTTTTAGGGGGTGCTGGCCCTTTGTGTCTTCATCTCCCTCTCCTCCTACTCTACCTAAGTGACAGGGTAGCACATGCCACTTGGTGTGACCTTTTGCACAGAAGCTAGTGTCTTCATGACTGCAAGTATCTCCAGACACCAAGGATATCTGATATTAAAGTCTAACTTGTCCTAGTCCCCTCCCTCGGTTTACACCATCAAGCAGTAAGACAGGCAGTTCTAGGAACTTCTGTTGCCGAGCCTTATGTGTGATGGCCTTGCCTATCCTCTGGAAATGCCAGAATGCTGCTGTTTGCTCTTCCCATGACCAGCAGACAGCACCTCACCCTTCAGCACCACTCCTAGTTATTATGAGTGTGGACTTTGGAGTCAAGCACCAGGTTTGAATCTTGGCTTTTCCACCTACTACCAGTGTGACCTCAGGTGAGTTATTTTAACCTCTAAGACTTAGTTTTCTCATTTATAAAAAGGCAATGCTACCTATTTGAATTAGGAGCCATGAATGTAAAGCACCCACCCAATACGTAACCGGCATGCGGCCATTTTGATGAGTATACTATCTACTCATCATTGTTACGCCAGCTTGCAGCAAAGTTAAAGGTACACACGCTTCTGGATAAGTGTATCTTTTCACAAGCACTTGACCATCGTCCTGAGTTTGAGTGATCCAGAAATGAACATGGGACCTAAGATACAGAATCAACATGTTTGATTCCAAAATTGGGTACATCTGCATAAGATAAGTTACACCAATCTGGTGCTTTTCTCATTCTTTGTTAATAAAACATGGAAATCTGAGAACTGCAACCTCCACCTCCAATCCCTAACACCCCCACGTTCTCAGACCCAACAGTTCTTACAAGACCTTTATTCTAGTTTTATATAGGACCTTCAGTTCTGTGGATCTTTTAACAAGGAAAGCAAACTTTCCTTTCCAAGGAAAGAAGTCTAGGAAAGCAGCTTAGCAAGTTTAGAAGCATGGGTTCAAATCAGCTCTCTTCCTTAATAGCTGGGCATCCGTTTCACCATTTGTAAAATTAGGATCAACGTCTCAGGAGTCAAAGATCAATGAGATCATCTGCATATAGTACTTAGCACAGTGTCTTACACACAGGGCCCTCAGCTTGGCGAGACCTAGGAGGGGAAGGGAAGAAGCACAGGGTAGTGTCTCAAGCTTCTCTGCCTCACACAGGGAAGTGGGCAACAGGCTGAGGGGACTCAATTCTCCTTTGTTTATTTGTCCTCTGTACTGACCTTTGCAAGCTTCAAGATAACACAGAATTTGCCTATCGGAAGCCTCACTGTTTTTCAAGAGTGTAAGGTTAACAGAATTGAGATCCTAGATAAAACTAGAATAATGGTTTTGTAAGAATTGAAGGAAGACTCTTCTATCCCTTACTCTCCCGCATTCTTATTACCCAAATTTAAAATATCCCAGAAAGGTTGGCTAAATTCGCTTTGTTCACCAATGTCAATAAATGCCTACAACACTACCTGGCACAGAGCAGGCTTGTTGAATAAATGAGTTAAGTGAAAGTCAGTGATGGAGAGCTTTTAAAGTCTAGGTTACCAGCGTTATTACTATTACACTTCATTAAAGATGCCACACACCATTCCAAAAATATATTTATTTTTTAAAACAAAGGCCAGCCAAGTTTTTTAGAGTCAAATTTTCCAGAAACCAAGAGTTTGAATGTCAGCTTCAGGTGAAAGTTAAGCTGGAGTAATCTCATGCAGAAATATTTCTATGTGGGAGGTAAACATTCTGCTTAACTGTAAGCTCCCAGTTCTCTAAATCTTGTTTGTAATTCTGCCATCTCCATTCCAGGGCTCTGGCACTCAAGGTCATCCACCTCTAAAATTCAAAACTTCCAAACTGAGATGAACGGCTGTTGGGCTTGGGTTGGGGTTTATAACCGATTCGATCATGAATCATTTGCTCCCGACTCTTGGGGTCACTGCCCAGCCCCACGGCTCCTTCCCCATCGCCGCCTCCTACTACTTCCACATCTTCCTTTTGTTTTTTACGGGTCTGAAAGCATAAGAGTTTTAAGGTTAAGGCAACATTCTTTCCATCAGCAAACATTTGGCCTGTTTTAGAGCAACTCAGGAGGGAGGGGCCTGACTACCCGGTACTTGGTACAGGAAAAAGGGCAGTGTTGAGGCCTTTGGAACACTAAACTGAAATCCTAGGTTTAGATGGTTAGGGGCAGAGTGAGGATACAGGGACAGTTATAAAAGATATAACCCTTATCCTCCAGAATGTCACACTTTTAACAGGGAGACAGGTAAACAGATAACTGCAACATAGGCTGACCAGGGCTGTGGCAGAGAAACCCAAATAGCTACGAAAATAAGGAGGCAGGGAGCTAGGTGTGCAGGGACAGAGGTTCAGATCTCCAGCACCTGCAGCTGGAAAGAAATAAGAATTAGCAGACTAGGGAGAGGAGCCAGTGTTTCAGTAGAGAAGAGCTAGAAAAATAAAGGAACTGGTGAAACAACCACTAGAAATTTACAGCCTTGCTGATATCCTGAGGTTAAAAGTAGCACAAAAAACTAAAGGTGTGGTGCTATCTTATCAATCAAAAGGACTGAGCTAGGGGATTTCATTTTGTGTTCAGATCAAAGGTTCAGCCCTTAGATGGCAGGTGAATATAGAATTCACAAAGTCTACTTCTCAGTTCAGTATTTTCAGAGACACTAACACTTAACCCCATAACACTATGCCCTGGCTGGAAAGCTATTAGATGATAATAACTTTCTCTAGGAGAGAGTACAGATGTTCTGTCTAGAGTTTACTGGAAAAATGGCTCAGCTAATCACTGGAGTCACTGCCATTCTTCACCACTTGCCTCTGAATTGTATTTAAATGCTAATGTCAAAGTAGCATAGTGAATCCAATAAAGTACTTTGCGTGTGCATGCACATGTATGTAATGGCCTTCCTACTCTCTAGTGTACACTACCAATAAGTAACATGAGAAAGTTCTACCCAAACAACTTTATGAAAACAAGTTCTAAAAGGCAAATAACACTATGATTTTATAAATGAGAAACTCTTGAAACTATTCAATGGGATGAGATCATTTAAAAAGACTTCCCTCAGTGAACAACTGCTGATGGTTTCAGAATCTAGAGTCTTGATACATAATATAATCAAGCCAATTTCATTAATAAAATGGAATACCAGTTTTCTACTGCTTTCATTGTTGAGGGTAAGACTGCCCCTCCCTCCCAAGTTGCTCTAAAACAGGGCCAATCCACTGGATAATTGCCTTTAGTAAAAAGACTAAAGTGAGCTGATTTTGCAGAGTCAAAGTTCAATATGCTAGTACTTTATGAGACTCATTACAACTGATGTTTAAACCACACTTAAAGTCACCCTTAATAAGACATTGCCAATATGAGTTTTTGAACAGCAAAAATTATGATGCTTTAGAGAACACTAAAGTCTCCTGTAGTGAGGAAAGGGGGGGCGAAATTTATTTGTCTTAACAAGAAGCATATACAACACAAGGCACCATGTTCATGGACAGGTGATGTCCTCTGCCTTAAAGTACAAAGAATCTACTAGGTTAGCAAATGAAAACAGACTAGTAGTGAAGACCTCCTAAAGGCCTGGAATTGCAGGCACTGATGCAGGAACATATGGCCCAATGTGAGAAAACAGCAAACCTCTATTGTGACAGGGTGGTCAGCCCAAGGAGAGAGTTGAGCCTAACACAGTGGAGACAGTCAAGGAAAACTTCTAGAAGAAGCCAGGTCAAAAGATGAGTGAAAGTTAATCTGGTAAAGAAAGGAAGGGTATTCCTGGCACAGGGGACATACCGTACAGAGAAGCTCAGATTAAAGGTAAAGATAACTCAGCAGTGGAAGATAAAGTGGAGTGATAAGCAGGAACCAGGTTATAAAGGGATGTGTATGCCATTCTAAGGAATTTGGACTTTATTCTGAAGGCCACTGAAGAAGTTAAGGCTTATTAACAAACCTCTACTACCGTGGCTATACTTACAACACATATGGTTAGCTCCTAGATGCTGGTGAAGACGATACTTAATTTCTACAATCAGGCTTCTAATGTAAGTGGGTTTTACAATATAGAATTCACTGTAAATTAAAATGCTATGAGCTAAAATCAAGTGCTTTGAGAAGCCCAAATTAGATGGATTCAGCATGGAGAGGAGTGAGACCCCTAACTTAGATAAGGTATTGGACAGTAAGAAGCCCCTCACACTAAGGGAGTGTCTATGAACTGAAACATGAAGAAAAGAGGGAAATTCCAGGCAGAGGAAAGTAGGTGCGCCTGGCGTACAGAGTGCAAGGCAAAGGGACTCAGCAGGCGAAACCCGAAGGGGGGCCAGAATGCACAAAATCCTGTAAGCAACCATTAGGAGTTGAGATTTTATTCTAAGTGCAGGAAACCACTGAAGTGTTTTAACCAGGGCCTGGGTGACGTGATCTGAAAATTTTCCAGATCATTGTAGACACCTGATGATGAAGAATGGATTAAGGAGACAAAAATGGAAATAGACCACTTAGGAAGCTATTGAAATTATACACAGAGAGATGACAGGGTTAGACTAGGGTTGTAACAGTGGAGATGAAATGGTTTGGATAGATTTGCAGAAATATGGAGTAGAATCAAAGGGTTGAAGAAAAATTAACTACAAAGGGTCCAGGAGAACTCAAAATGACTCCGAAGTTTCTGAATTGAACAAATACATAGCTACTGAGATGGGAACACTAGGGTAGAACTGGCTTGAGGAAGGTTTTTGTGTTGATATGTTAATTGTATTAGGCTGAATAATGACCCCCAAAGCTACTGGATCTTGAGATAGGGACATTATTCTGGATTATCTGGGGTCATCACATGTTAATCTCTCTGGGGGTGGGGGGGCGGTAATTTCAAAGACAGAAAAGAAGACAATCTGATCACAGGAAGAGATTGGAGGGATGCAGCTACCAAACACGGGAAGAGACAAGACACGGATTCTGCCCTAGAGCCACTGAAGGGAGTATGGTCTTGCTGACACCTTCACTTGGACCAGTGATACTAATTTCTGTTCTACAGAACTTTGAAAGAATAAATTTCTGCTATATTATACCACCATGTTTGTGGTAATTTGTTATAGCAGTCAAAGGAAGCTGATAATAGGTGAAGTCTTACATACCTGTAAAGAGCAAAATAGAGATTTCAAATACGCTGTTTTGTGCACAAAAGAATCTGGAGGCCAAAAAGTTAGAGCTATTATTTTAAATATTCCTAAGGGTTTGCAAGCTTACCTCCAGGTCCTTTCGAATGCTCTCGAACTCCTCGATGTCATCAAGCTTCAGCTCCAGGCGTGTTGGTTTCCTTCGCAGCATATTGAAATTAACACTAAGGGCCAGGCCCAGTGAACTTCTGGCTGTTGAGAGTGACAGAGAGAGTGAAAAACTGGAGGATAAACTCAGCCACAAATACAAGGACAGGTGAAGGGGGTACTATAGATAGCAAGAGTCAGCAAATGTCTTTTGTAAGAGTGCACATTAAAAGGAATGGTGATACGAAAGACTCATCTGGATTCACAGTGTGTATGATTATCACACTGCATGATGGAGAGCTAAATTCTATCATCAAAAAAAACCAAAAAAACCCTTTAAGACCTTAAAGTAGCAAGCTGCCTATGAAAGAAGTCTAAGCAACAATCATTTTTATTTCATGTCCAGTCACAGTCAAAGAAATAATCAAGAGAATAAAGTTAAACTATCACATCTTAATTCAGTAAAGTTAGTGGGAGAGGACAGATCAACTCTATAAGAGAATTGTGAGATTTACGATCACTGTCAAATGGTAAGATCAGTACAAAATCTCATGAAAACACCTTCTCACTCACCAATTCACAGGGTTCTCAAGGTGTTAAAGTCTTTCCCGAATGGATAGGTCATTCATTAAACACTTCTGCACCAGCAGGCACAATACTGTCTGTGGGAAAAACAAGTAAACAGAAAACTGCAGCATATAGTGTATTAAAAACACTGATGAAGGAAATGCAACGGCATCATCCCACAGCTAGGTACCCAATTCAGTCTGGGTCAAGTGCGGGGCAAGCAGGGACATGGGAAGATTTCCTGGAGCTATTTCAATTGATTTGTGAAGCGCAAGCATAGAGAACAAGTTTTTGAAAGCACTCCAAATTCTTAGCCACAGCAATGCCTGTGTAACCAAAAAACTTCATTTTAAGAAGAAAATAAAACTTCCAACTGGGTTTAAAATCTGTTGAGGACATCCTCTTAATGTTCTCCACAGGCGAAGGGGGTACTATAGATAGCAAGAGTCAGCAAATATCTTGCTGGATAAAATAAGGGTTCCAAATAAAAGGAAGTGGGTTTTCCTTAAGCACTCTGCTTGCTTTTCCTTTCCCATTCCTTACTTTTCAATTTTAACACAAGAATCCTGTGAAGTTGCTAACCCCATCCCTATTTTACAGGTGAAGTAGAAGCTGGTGAGTTAAGAACTATTCATCTCCTATTAAAATTATATATAGGTCACATGGTGCATATAAAAACGAGAATGATGTAAGTGAAAGTCCAAAAGCATGTGCAATTAGTACATGTATCTAGATGTAATTAAGACTGTGAAGTATGTAATTGAAAGAAGTTTTTTTTTCTCCCATGAAGCATGGGACAGATACTGGCGATGTTACGATTACAAAACAGACACGTGACAACTTCAAATTGCTCCGCGCCAAATCGGATGCTACCTTGACGCCAATGTAGATGTATGGTGAAAAGGAGAGGAATGCTTGCTTAAAGAAAAGAAGCCTAGATTTTTCTTAAATTTTTTGCACACTCAACTCGCCACTAGGGGGAAGCAACGACCAAGTGATAACGCGCCGGTTTCGGAGGAGAAAGGCCAGAAGACAACGTAAGCGAACCGCCACTGGTTTGGGCCAATTAGCTTCGTCTTTTAACTAGATCTTCGTTTCCACGTCTGTGTCTGTACTCTGCAGTCCTGACTGAGTGAGGTTCTGCAGAATAAGTTCCTTGTACGTTCGTTGCCATTTAATAAACGTCAACATCCGTTGTTATTATAATTGTCGTCGCGGAAGGATAGGAACCTCTATCCAGCCGGGGAAGCATCATTGTTTTCATCATCTCCACCCCCAACACGAGAGCAAAATTCTGCTGTATCCGTGACGCCCCAGCACCCAGCGGAATACTGGACCGTGCAGTCACACGCTTGTCAGTAGTGTCAGTAGTGACGCCTGCGTGCAGTCTACCTGCCGCTTTCCCATCCATCACCTCACCCTGAATCAGATACAAAGACAGGCAACAACAAAAGCAATCCTCGGGTCTTTACTTCATTTGAGCGCTCTAGAGAGTTCTTTGATCTCAATCTCCGGGCAGCCCAAACCACAGAAAATGCCAGCTTAGAGGGTGCTTTCAGGAGACCCTTCCCACACGGGGCCAGGAGAACAGCGTTCCTTCCACACCTCCAAGGCTGCACTCACCCCACCGGGGCCAGGGTTTCCATGGCAACGCGACCCTCCCTGGCACGTCCAGCTCTCGGGGCTGGGAGCCATCGCAGGCCGGGAGCCCTCGATTCGCTCGAGAGGTCAGCCCAGGCCGCCCGACTCCACGCACCTACCGCTTCTCGATCTCGCTCAACTCCTTCCCGGACCCTTGGCGACCCCCCAGAATCGTCGGCTCCACAAGCAAGACTACACCGCTTCCCAGATTGCTCCTAGCCTCCCTGCTTGCAGAACTTCCGAGGCTCTCGAGTCCTCTCCCTGAGCCCCGTCTCTCTCCTACTACGATTCCCATCATGCTCCACGACGCCCAGGACGCTGCGTCTGCTCTCGGCCCACTTCCGTCCAGTGACGTAGTTCCGCTTTGCTGGGCGCGCGGTGGACGGTCTCAGACGTAGAGCTCTCGCTGGGGCTTGGCGGCGCCGGAGCCTGGCATGGCTTCCTCACGGGCCTCCTCCACGGTACAGATCGCAGCCCACGCTAGCAGGGAGCGCGGGGCGGGGGCCGTCCCTGCGGGAGGGGCCGCTGGGAAGCGGGGCCAGGAGGTGGCGGACTGTGGAGGAAGGCGAGACTCCGTCTTGTCTTCACAGGGCAGCGTTTTCCTAATCCCTGAGAGCTTTCTTGTGCTTTCTAGCTCGTTTGCACTTCTCGACGCGAGCGGGAGCGGCAAACACATCTTCCTCTTAGTCCAGAAACGCCTCTGAAAGAGAGAAGGGTCTTGGCCATGGTTCAGGTCCATGTCAGACCCTCTGATTGGAAGGAGGCCTCCTAAATTCCTATCTGCTGTTTCGCACCTGAGAGCTTTTGAAATGTATAGAGCAGTAACTTTGTAACCAGTTTCCCATTTGCTTCTACTTGGTTATTTCCGTTATCCTTGATCACGCCCCTGTGTTGAGACATCACCCTGGGCGTTTTATAAAACTCAAGAAGAGATTGCATTGTTAATCTGGATGAAATGAATATACTTCAGAGTTAACCTTTGCTGGAAAGAAGTTGATGCGTTTTACCAAATCTCTTTCTGCAACATTTAAGGGATGGAGAGGTTGAACCAGCATCACCTCCCCATATCTGTGTAGATGCATCTAAACTGGCGTCCAGCTTGTCATTTTTTGCGGGGGAGAAATAGGATTGAAGTTAAGAATGAGCTTAATCATTCAGGAAAATTTAGTCAATTGCTAAGATTAAGGCTTGGATTAATTCAGATCTTCGATTTAACAGGCAACCAAAACGAAGGCTCCAGATGACTTAGTCGCTCCTCTAGTGAAGAAGCCGCATATCTATTATGGAAGTTTGGAAGAAAAGGAGAGGGAGCGTCTGGCCAGAGGAGAGTCTGGGATTTTAGGAAAAGAAGGACTTAAAGCAGGAATTGAAGCCGGAAATATTAACATAACCTCTGGTAATATGCAAGTCTTGAGTCCCTTTTTACCTTCAGTGCTCAAATTTCTGTATTGAAGTATCTAAACTTAGAAGTATCAGAGTTACTCCATTTTTAAACTTGTATTCTGTAAGGCTATACTTTCCCTGCTTTGATTTGCCTGGATAATCTTTTTCTTAAACCCTTTTGAGAACAGCTTTTCTTCCATTTAGTGGTTAGTCATTTTACTAGAGTTCATTCAGTGTGTATTTGGTTTCAAATTGATTCCCTTTGTCTTTGGAGATCTAGCACAGATATAACATTGGTTTGGATTCTCTGGCTCAATATATAATAAAAGGCTTCCTTTTATTAGTTTTCCTGTTTTCTACCCACAACTAAATACCTTTTTTAAGTTATAAAAGTGATAGTTTTTATTTTGAACTGTAGGAAATAGAATATCATGTAATCCTTAATTGAATCTTTTTTCTGAGAATTTCATGATGCTTTAAAATAATTTTTTCCCATAAATAGAACCATAATTTAAAAACTTGTAACCATTTTTCTTTAATGTACTATTGAAGATACCTTTCTCAAAGCTACCTTTGAATGATTAGTGTCTACTAATTTTTAAAGTAAAATTATACATGTTTGTCATAAGAAATTCACACTACAGAAGGCTCTAAAGTGGAAAGACCTCTCTGCAGTGAAGACTTCTGTCATATTTCTCATTGATCCTCCTATGAATTTTTTTCTCTGCACATGCACTTCAGTACTTTTTAATATCATTTATGATGTTTTGAACGTTACTGTATCACCATTGAACCTAACACCAAGATGATATTGTTTTGGTTTGGTAATAGGTTTTTACATTACTTGCTAGAGGACCTCCCTGGTGGCACAGGGATTAAAGTTTCTGCACTATCAAGCTGTCACCAGCCACGGTGACACAAGTTCAGTCCCAGCCAGGAGGTGACCTACATGGTGCAATAGACCTCTCCTTTGTTGCCCACTGCTCCCCTCAGCAGCATATTTCAGTAGGTCTTCCTGTTCCTCTCCCCCTCGTACCTCCGGCCGACATCCTAATTCTTGTAGCATAAGTTGTACTGTGCAAATTATATTTAATTACAAAGCTTTTTGGTTATTCTAGCAAGTGATATTTTTTTCTTTTTTAATAGTTAAATAAATATAATTTGCACAGTAATTATTTTTGTAAGTGTCCCTCTACTGGGCTATGTAGAGAATAGTTTTGGCAGTTAAGATCGTGTTTCTACTTGAGCTTCTGAATAACAGAACTTGTTAACTCATTTGCTAAAGGTGCTCTGTATACTCTTGTTTCTCATCATCTGAGCAATGTGTTTATATAAGCTTGCCAAATAAAACAGGATGGCTTTTCCTGTCTTTAAAAGCTATGTCATTTAGTAGACTATAAAACAAACTATACTATAAAGTGTCTAATATCAATAAACTAGGTAATTAACTTTCTTTGGGGGTATACACAGACTCCATATCTACTAAATTTTCTCATACCCTTTCTGAAGATCTGACATTATGCTAATACCACCTGGTTATTGTTTTCTTTTTTACTAGGAGAAGTATTTGAAATTGAAGAGCACATCAGTGAGCGACAGGCCGAAGTACTTGCAGAGTTTGAGAGGAGGAAGCGAGCGCGGCAAATCAATGTTTCCACAGACGACTCAGAGGTCAAGGCTTGCCTCAGAGCCTTGGGGGAGCCCATCACACTTTTTGGAGAGGGTCCTGCCGAAAGAAGAGAAAGGTGCCCTTTCTAAATGTTCGTTCTTCTTAACCACAGAGTGCTAGTTCCAAATGTCACTTGGCATTTGTAGCTCAGACTTTTAACAGACCATCCCAGGTAACGTCGCCAGAGCCCTTACTGTGTCGTGTGTATATATTTTAACCCAGAGTCTGAGTTGTAGGCAGCTTCACTCAAGGATGCATCTTTCTTTGTAGACTAAGAGGGTGCAAACATCTTTTGTTCCCCCTCACTGCCATCCCCAGTATAGGCTATTTCGTTGAGTGAACATAGGTTCTTCAGCATTGAAAATGTAGACATCAAACCCTTTCTTCATCAGTGACATAAAATGGCAAATGTTTTTTGGCTTTTACAAAGGGGCACTATCCTCAGATAAGGCCCCTCTTGTGCTTTTAAGGTTGCACAGTATGAGTGTCAGGTTAGCCATGTGCAGTTAGGAGAATCACCTCTTGTCTTTTTATCCTCGAAATGGATTCTTCATCTTCAGGCTTCTTGGAAGAGTTAGTTACATTTACCTCTCATTTACTCTTCCACTCACTACAAAATGATTGATCCTTCCCATGTTGAGGTGGTCTCTATTAAGGTCACTATCTCGTTTTCCTAAGAACAGCCTCATTCACTGCCAGCTGCTCCAATTTTAAAAGACTCTCTTTCCTTGGTTCTCATAAAACCAAGTGCCTCTGGTTTTCCTCCTGTCTCTGGTTAATTCTTCTCACCTTGAAGCCTCTTCTCCCCCACCCCCACCTCCCCAGGCTCACCTTTATGTCCTGTGGTTAGAAAACCACCCCCACCCTGGGGCTCAGATCCCCTCCCGTGACCTTGTTCACCATCAGCGTCTGGAGCGGCCGCCAGGGCTCATGGCCTACGCACCCCTTAGACGTCAGACGTGACCCATCTCGATGAACCTTCTCACCCTCTCCTGTGGTGAATTTTCATACCTGAACACAATTTTCCGTTGAAAACCTGCCTCTACTCCTTTATCACTCAGCCACAACATCTAGTCTAGGTTCCTTCTGAAATGTATCTACAGTATGTCCTGGTTTTGTGTCTTCCTTTGCTTTTACATCGAGACTGTTGGGATACTCCCAAACCTGCTGTATTAGTTGGATGCTAATCACCATACAGTATCATACTTAGGACAGCACCAGGACTTCTTTGTGACCTGGTGTCTCTTATGTTTCCAGTCATCTTTTCTTGTACTCTGCTCCAGTCATAAGAAAAGTACTTGGGATTCTAAACCTGATGTTCTCACCTCCAAGCCTTTACCTCAGCTTGAACTGTTCACCAGACTCTTTCAGGACCTGGTGTAGCTGGCACCTCCATAAGCCTTTCCTGACCCCAGACCTGCGTTGAGCCCATCTCTTATGTTCCCTGACAGCATCTGGTGCTTACTCCCGTCATATGAAACACAATGCTCTGGAGTTCCCTGACACTTCCCGCCTCCTAAGTGCCACCACCCTGGCTGTGCAACTTGAAATCAAGACTGTTCCTTAGCTGCTATGTACCTAGCACCCAAGTCAATGTGCGGCACACCGTGGCCCAGAGGGACGGTTTGTTGTCCTCACAGACCAACTGGTAGCTGTCTAGGTGCTAGTTGATTCAACATAGAGCAGGATAATTGCTTGCATTTCAGTTTAGGGACTTCACATAGAGGGTCGAGTGAAAGGAATTATAGTGGAAGTTTAGGCATGACAGTTTGACTCTTAAATAAAGGAAGACACTTGGGGCTTCGAATGGTGAGAGAGGAAGAGAAGTTTCCTCTTTTATTCTCTTTTTAAAGATTCGTTTATTGATGTATACAGAACTGGGGTATAGACCAGAGGTGCAGGGGCAGTGAGAGGACTCACCAGAGACAGAGTGGGGAGCAGAACAGGCAAGTCGACTGAAACACACTGCTGAGGGGAGCAGTGGGGGGGTCAGGAGAGGTCTGCTGTGCCATGTGGGTCAGCTCCCTGGCCAGGATCAAACTCATGTTGCACTGGCTTTGGAGAGCTTCATAGTACTGTGCTTTAACTCATTGTGCCACCAGGGAGGGTCCAGATTTCCTCTTTTATACAGTCTCATTTCAACTCTGATTAAATTTTTTTTTTTTAAAGATTTATTTATTTGTGCATACAGAGCTGGGGTACAGGCCAGAGGCTCAGGGGCAGTGAGAGACTTCACCAGAGGCAGAGTGGGGTGCAGAATAGGCAGATCGAGGAAGTACACTGCTGAGGGGAGCAGCGGGCGGGTCAGGAGAGGTCTGCCATGCCGTGTGGATCTCCTCCGCGGCAGGCGGGAATTAAACTCATGTGGAGGCTTTAGCTTCTCAATGCTGTGCTTTAACCCGCTGCGCCACCAGGGAGGGCCCAACTCTGATTAAATTTTAATCTTTTTTGTTATAGATTAAGAAATATCCTCTCAGTGGTTGGTACTGATGCCTTAAAAAAGACGAAAAAAGATGATGAGAGATCTAAGAAGTCCAAGGAAGAGGTGACATTTATCTTTGGCTTTGTGGTATAAACAAGAAGCAACTGAGGGGCTGATTCTCTGATTTTCTGTTCTCAGTGATTTGCTTTGCTAGGATCAGGGGTGGGGGCATGATGTCTCTGTTCTCTAGAAATAGTTGTTGGCAGTAATATGTGGTTCTTCTGTAGTTATGAATGGAGTGAATTTTCTATTCACGAAAAAGCTATATGGTACTGACACTATAACTTTTGACAAAGAACAAGACAATTACAGAAAGAAACAGTGGAAAATTCGTCCTATTACAGAACAAATTCACCTTTTTGGGCAGTTGCACTAGAGAATTGACAGGGAGGGTGGAGTAGGAAGACTTTAGAATTAATATTTTTGCTATTTTAAATTTTAGTATCATCAAACATGGTACCATGAAGGACCGCACAGTCTAAAGGTTGCTAGACTATGGATTGCTAATTATTCACTACCCAGGTAAGGAGAGCCTCAAGAAGAAGAAAGAAGCTTTTTTTTTTTTTTGTCTTATTCTTCAGTTTCAAGGACTGAGGACCTAAATGAAATGGAGTGGTAGAGAGATGTGTGGGCTCATTTCCAACCCATGTGCTCAGGCTCGTGATGTTTCTGTCACAGGGCAATGAAACGCTTGGAGGAAGCCCGTCTTCACAAAGAGATTCCTGAGACAACGAGGACCTCCCAGGTGCAAGAGCTGCACAAATCTCTCCGGGTAAAATGCTTTTTGCCATTTTCTGGTCTCTCAGAGTTTCACAAATGTTCATTAGATTCTATGTGTTGGCATAACATACCTTCAGGAAGGTAAAGACAGCTATAATAACTCCTCCCTGCTTGCTCGGTGCCATTTGGGAGGGCCACAGTTAAGGTGGCAGGAACCTACTGCACTTTGTACTGAACAGAGGCCCATGGTTCTGCCTTTAACTCTCCTTTTTATTCTGTCAAAGCTGTACTTTAAGTTTGTCCCTCGTTTTCTTGTTTACACTTAGTTGACGCAAAAGCTAGTGATGTCAACGTATAGAAGGCAGCACAGCGTTCCAGATAAGCCTTAACTCCATCCTTTCAGCAATGTAACTGTCTCCTAGTGAGAACCTTGAATTGGGTCAAAACTGTAAACTTTTTTTATGGTGGAATAGTCAGGAAACTTGGATTCACATATTGATGATCAGCATTTGTTTTTGTTTTTAAGTCTTTGAATAATTTCTGCAGTCAGATTGGAGATGACCGACCTATCTCCTACTGCCACTTCAGTCCCAACTCCAAAATGCTGGCCACGGCTTGTTGGTAAGTCACATTTTACACAGACTTTTCCCTACATGGGGAACAGGTTCGGGGGGGGAAATACACTGCATTTGTTAGATGTCTGTCTGTATCCTCTTCCTCTGCTTCTCAAGGTCATGCCAAGCTAGGGATACTACTTCTCTGTGGTTTTGTTAGACAGAAAGCCTTTGAGTACTTCTGACGGCTCAGAGAACCCAGAAGTCTGACATGTGGCGGGCCTGACCCTGGTGTTCTGGAGCAGGTCACGTAGTGAGCTGACAGGCTAAGCACATCTCGATATAGCCTTTCTTTTACAGTTATGTGTCTCAGCAAAATGTTAATCTCTGTAAACTTCTGTTTCCTTAAACTGTAAAGGAAAATGTTTGTGAAGCATTTTGCCATGACAATGCCTGGTAAATGGCACCGACTCAGTAAACATGAATCACTATTTTTATCTTTATTATGTTTTCTACTTATTACCACTTACACAGAAATCTTAAGGATGTGGTCAGTTTGTTGTTTTGTTATTTCGTTATTTTTTGTGGGATTGACACGGTGAACTTCCTTGCACGGTGTATGTGGGACTGCTGAACCGGGCAGAAAGTGAGAGTGGGTCAGGAGAAAGCCAAGGACCCACACAGACCCATCCACTCTCCACATTGCAGTTACGGTCATGATAAAGTAGAAATAGCCTGTTAGAAGAGACATTTGACATCATAAATCATAATTTGTTAAGATTCACCAAAATAAAAAATCTTTCAAAACATATACTTTGTAAATGACACACTGTTTATCTTTAAGAAAGTAGTATCATTGTTCTTGATCCATCTTAAAGAATTTAAATTGTCATCCCTTCCTTACAAATTGATCAGAAGTTAAGGAGAATAGCAACTGTGCTGTGTTGATTAATCCAGATGAGGCCTCTGTTGCCTGAGAACTGGATGTATGTAACCCTCCAAGTTATAAGCCTCTTTTTTGTATTTTTCTGTCTGCCACTGTAAACTTTATTGGGGGTAAGCAGAGATTGTCCTTTAGTAGTGTTACCAAGGTACCTTTTCCTTCCCAGACAACCCTGGCTGAGATGCTTTCCTTTGTATTTGATAGGAGTGGGCTTTGCAAGCTCTGGTCTGTTCCTGATTGCAACCTCCTTCACACTCTGCGAGGTAAGCTCCAGACAGTCTTGTTTATACTTTAGTCTTCTTGACAGTGTGAATTGTCAAGCAGTAAACTGCCTGACACTCAGAACTGGTGTTATTGCAGACGAGGTCAATGCCATTTGTCTGGATTTGGTTTTCTCTGACCACAAAACTAGAAGAGAATGACTTCATTTGTATACTGTTTTTCTCAATGTTTTTCCAACATGCTCTAGTATTTTACAATCCCTATATACCAAAAGCAGAGGTGTTTTTGTCTGTTGTGCCTTTTGAAATAATACATGTTATTAGTTTGAATTAAGTTCATGTTTTTCAATAGTTAATCACTAATATTCTGTGCTCACATAGTCCCTAATATATATCTCCATTATTCATCATAGTCTGTTTTGCAGTTAGGTTGTAAGGGGGTCGTAACCAGGTAACTCATCGCTTAACACTCTTTCAGGCCATAACACAAACGTAGGAGCAATTGTCTTCCATCCCAAATCCACTGTCTCCTTGGACCGAAAAGATGTCAACCTGGCCTCGTGTGCTGCTGATGGTTCTGTGAAGCTTTGGAGCCTTGACAGGTGACTATAACTGTTCTGTTTCCATAATGGATTAGATGGCCCTTGGGACCTGACAAACTGGCATTTAGCCGCAGAGATGCTCTAAGAGTCAAGGTAACTAAGTGTGCAAATAGAATGGAGCATTTCTTTCTCACCGAGGGAGTAACACCAGGTTTTTCTTACTTGTTAATCTTGGGTCTTGATTTTTGCCTCTAACCATGTCTCTGGGCTCCAGTTGTTCTGGAAAGATCCATTGTACCTCCTACACAATAGATTGACATTGGAGAATAGCACTCCATGGTAGATGATCTCAAGATTATGTTCTCAGCAGCATGCTGATTCTTAGCAAACCACCACAGAGGAAAGAAAACAAAGTCAGTCTGGCATATTACTGCCAGGAAAGAAATGCCTCCTCCCCGCAGCAGCTGCTTTGACCCAGACAGCGTTTTCTAGCTACGACAGATTTTGGGTTTTTTGTCCCCAGTGTCTTTATTGTTTTCCAAGAAATTTTTGGAAGCTCCTTGCTGACGGAGAGACATCTGAATTCAGTGGCTTAGTTGTCTTTCTTTGGGAAAGCATATGAGGCTTTTATTCCAGGATTTTTTTAATGGCTCATTAAGTCTCTTCTCTTAGCCAGGATTTTACCTGTGAGCACAGTAGTTTTAATTGGCTTTGGTCATACTTAGCAATATGTGTTCCCCTCGGGCTTTGATTAGTTCTGTGTGTGCACATTGACAGAGTTCCCCTTTTAATTGCCCTCTTTAGGGTTCATGTTTATTTCCTTTCACTGGTGTTTCAGATCTCCTTTCTGTTGCTGGCGTGTAGAATGTAAAGGCCATTGAAATGAAACTAAGCTTCTTTCTACTGAGGTGTTCCTTTTTCTGTGTAACTCATTGGCACATGAAAATTTGGGGGGAGGGGGCGGGGAGCAGCTGTATCTAGAACCCTCTTGTTCCAAAACTGTTTATTTCTGTGACCTTCCATGTCTATCAGAATACCTTTTCTTTTTAGAATCTACATACTGCTTTAATGGAGAGAAACTATTTTGCTTGTCCGATTAAAGTATCTTTTGTTTCTTTTTTCTCTAATCCTGAATGGTAATACCCTTAAAAAATCACTCAGTATTTGAACTGAGGATGAAAGACAGTCTTTATTCAAGGTCTTTGGGCATGTGCTGTGTGACTCCTGGCACTGTCCCATATGCTTAAAACGTCGTAAAGTGACTTAAATTACTGTGAGCCCTAAAATTCCAACAAGTTTCAAGTTATAATTTGGTCTCTCAAATCACATAGAGTGGGTTCACTTATGCACAACAGTAATAAATTCAGTGCATGTACATTTAACTTTAGAGTTGCTTGCTCTAATAAGCTTGATTCCTTTTCAGTGATGAGCCGGTGGCAGACATCGAAGGCCATACAGTGCGTGTAGCCCGTGTGATGTGGCACCCGTCGGGGCGTTTCTTGGGTACCACCTGGTAAGCCATTGTGTTGTTCTGATGGTACAGTCTGTGGCCACTTGTTAAACCTTTTCACCTTAGCTGCCAGATAGAACTTCAGACTCAACATCTTTAATAGGATTTTCTTAGGCCACAGCAAATCTGAATCAGAAGAGAATATGATACAGTTAGGGCTAAGAACATTTGCTTTGAAATTGCAGTTAATCTGAATTTTCAGTCACTAATGGCCAGAAGACTGGTTTCACTCTGCCCTTTCTTGACTGGTTCGGAGGTGTACCTGTTCTCTGGTCCACATTGTATTGTAGTCTTGACAGAAGCACAGTCTTGACATAGAGAAATACATATGCTCATGACCCACATCCTTGTCCACAGAACATGTTCATCTCCCTGGGGCGGGGGCTGATGCTCCTCCCAGACCCTCCTCGTCTGAAGTGACCGTGGATTAGATTTCTGTTAGCATAAATGAACTGCATGCCATATGAACTCACTGGCACCTGGTTTCTTTTACTCAGCATAACGTTTTTTAAGATTTGTTCATGTCGTTGCATGTGTTAGTAGCTCCTTATTGCTGAGGAGTATTCAGGTGTTTTTATGTTTTTTATTTTAAAAAGCAGGTTTATTAGGGAAAGGGGACAGAAGAATAAAGGACACTCGCTTAGACACAGTGGGCAGGGAGAGCTGCCCCGAAAGGAACGGCTTTGCTGAGAGAGACCTGCATGGCGCAGGCGGCGGGCGGCCCTCAGAGCTGCGTCTGCCGCTCTCGGCTGCTAAGAGACGCCGGCACGGCGCAGGGCAGGGCAGGCAGGAGGCTGTGCTGTGGGGAGGCAGAGAGTTGACAAAAAGGACACCTCGGTGGCACCAGTAGGCCAGAAGGGCTGCGAAGATTCAGCTTTGTAACTGCCGGGCTTTGTTTTTTCACTTTCAGTAAAGACATTTGTTCCTTGCTAACATTTTTTGTTGGTTTACAATTGCGTGAATGCCATGTTTTGTTTTTTGATCCATCCACCTATTCGGACACAGTTTCTGGGTTTGGACTGCTCAGAATAAAGCTGCTATATCTGTTCTCTTATAATGCTTTTTGTTGTCATATTTTTACTTTCTTTTGAATAAATACCTAGGAATACAGTTGCTATGCCATAGGGTAAATGTGTGTTTAACTTTCAACTGGAGTTTCACTGTTTATGTTTCTGGAATTCTGTGTCCTCACCAGTGTCAAGTTAGCGTTTTGCCCACTCTGGCAGGTGCATGCTAGAACCTTGTGGTTTTGATTTTCGTTATCTTCATGACATTCGGTTCTGGGAACTGTGTCATTTGTCTCCTAGCCACTTGTGTGTTCTCTTATTCACATTTAACCTTTTTTTTTTTTTATTTTTTTGTTTGTGTGTTTAGTTTTTATTTCCACCTGCATAGACAGTTCTACCACCATTCAATAGGCAGACTTTATGTATTTACCCTATTAATTTGCCTTGGCACCCTAAATGAAAATTACTGGATTTTATAAATAGCTAGTTCCATTTTTAAGATTCTGTTCTGTTCCTGTTGATTGAGCTGTTTGTAAGTGACTTTTGTATTCCCAGTGTCTACATTAGTGTCCCATAAATGCTCAATGACTAAGAGGACATGATGGGAGTGACGAAGGAAGTACCAGAATTTTTGCTGGACTGTTCTTAGGGAAGTCTTAAATAACCACTGCGGTAGGGTTAGGAGCCCCTGGCTTCCCAGTCAGCACCTAAGACAGAAGGGCTTATTTGTTGAGATATTATTTATCCCAGAAAAGATTTTTTTCATTGATACAGTTGTATGAATAGTTTGAGAAGCAAAACTTAAGCTCTAACTGCTTCATGTGCCTTGCACATTGGAGGAACTGAGTGGATATCTGAGGGTTAATGGTTAGTTTGGTTTTTCAGCTATGACCGCTCGTGGCGCTTATGGGATTTGGAGGCCCAGGAGGAGATCCTGCATCAGGAAGGCCACAGCATGGGTGTGTATGACATCACCTTCCATCGAGATGGCTCTTTGGCTGGCACTGGGTAAGGCAGCTGGCAGTGCGCTTCTCGTGTATGCCTGTCGCCCAGGTCGCGCGGTCAGAGTGTCCATTCGTGTATTATTTTCCCAGGGGACTGGATGCATTTGGTCGAATTTGGGACCTGCGCACAGGACGTTGTATCATGTTCCTAGAAGGCCACTTGAAGGAAATCTATGGAATACATTTCTCCCCCAATGGGTAAAATTAGTTCATTGACTGAGGGGTGGAGAGGTGCTGATCGAAAGTCCTCTTTGTCTAACCTCAGTGTACGTGTGACCCACAGCTACCACGTCGCCACTGGGAGTGGCGACAACACATGCAAAGTGTGGGACCTTCGACAGCGGCGCTGTGTCTACACCATCCCCGCCCACCAGAACTTAGTGACGGGCGTCAAGTTTGAGCGTAAGCCTTCTGCCTACTTTAGGACTGTGCCGAGGCGGGCACGTTTTCGCTCCATGCATGCACACCAGGCTTCAGCCTCATCTGGGAGTGGGACAGGGGAGAGTTTGAACTCTGTAAAGAAGCAAGTTACAGTTTCCTTCCATGCTTTTAGACGGCGCATGCTGCTGCTTGCTAGGAAGTGACTTGCATGCATGACTTGCATGCATGTCTTGCTTCAACTGTTTTCCCTACTAAAGTTCTAAGCATCGACTCCTTAATATTACTCTGAATAGGTTCCTCTCAGGGAAAGAGCCAAAAGACCTGAATATAATATAGTTTGATCCCGAAGTCTGCACTTGTCCATGTTTCCTGGAGACCTCGTAGGAGTGTAGATCAGAGTGTTGGGTTTTTCTGAATGTGAAAGGCCTTTTTTCAAGGTAGTATGTGCTAGTAAGTTTGGGGCTTTTGTTTTCTTGAATTTTTGAATTCCTTATGCAGCTCCCATTCTTTTCTCTTGTAGCTATCGGCGGGCACTACTTGCTCACTGGTGCCTATGATAACACAGCGAAGATCTGGACCCACCCGGGCTGGTCCCCACTCAAGACTCTTGCTGGCCATGAAGGCAAAGTGATGGGCCTAGACATTTCTTCTGATGGGCAGCTAATAGCCACTTGCTCATACGATAGGACCTTCAAGCTCTGGATGGCTGAATAGGCAGGACCATTGACAATGAACTATTCTTGAGCGCTCCCTTAAGAGGCATTTTTTAAAAAAAGGAATTGAAATGCTTTTGTTCTATCATGTTTTTGCCAATTGTATAGACCTTCAGTAGAATTGGATTCCCATGTCAGCCCCCACTCCGGGAAGGCAGCCCTGTCCCTGAGTGTTGGGGAACCCTTTTCATGGTTGGAATTTAAATACCCATCTTCAAGCCCTGCCACAACTGTGTGGATATTGTTTTACTACCCTATTGCCTCTCTCACAGCCCTCAGGATTGTGGCTGATTGTACTTTTAAATCCTTGAAATTTATTTACATGGTAGATGTTCTGGATTACATGTCAGCCACAGGGCAAGGCAGCTGGACTATAGCCTGCAGGCCCTCAAGGAAAGAGGCACATCTCATCCCACACTGGCTCAACAATACCTGAGAGCGAGAACTTTCCTTTTGATAATGGGAGGTGAAGCAGTAGACCACAGCTGTGCTCGGGATTATGCGGTAAAGAAGATTTTACCTCTCTCTGTTGTGTTCACTTGGGATGTTCATGACCATCCGGAAGCTCAGAACTGAACATTCACCCTGTCAGAAAATGTCTTCCATTTTGCTTTGAAGTTTGACATCATTGGTGTTTACCCCAGAGCTAGGCTGTATGTCAAGTTTCAATGAAATTTTTAGAAAGCAAACATCTATGTACAATCTCCTTTCTGGTGTTTTTTTAAAGAACTTACTCTTGAGGTTGCAGTGACTCCAAAATATCACTATGTGGTACACCTGAACATCAACTTTTTTTTCTTTTATTACACACTAGCTACAGAGTAAAAACCCTGTTATAAAAACCATCCTTGAAAAGGTTATATTATATACTTAAGAATTCTCTGAATCTAGCCATTGAGCCAGAGAGGTTCGTTTTTGGTTTGAGATAAAACAGATGATCTCACACATGACTCAACGCCAATTTCCATGTCCTTAGTGAGCACTCTGTTCATTTCTTTAAAAAACCAAAAGCCTGCTGCACTGTAGGCCCAAGTGCCCATGACTGGAATGAACCATGTCACTGTTGCTGGCAGCCAGGCAGCAGTGACCCAAATGTGTAACCACTGCAGTGTCCAAGTACCCAGTAAATGCACCCACAAGTAACAGGAATTGAAGACAGGATTTGGAGAATTCAGGGAAGGCTCAGATACGGCTTCGCCTCAAATGTTTAAAACACTTCACTGTCCACAAGGGCCAGAGTGGCTTTGTCCAGCTCTATGCTGCAAACTTTTAAGAACGTGTGATGCATCGTTTAACGCTGTGTAATCTGATTTCAGTCACAGCCAAGTAGTTGTATATCCTGTGTATTTGCTAAAGCTTCTGAATTCTTCACTCAGTCCCCTGTTGGGCATTTCCCTGTTTAGATATTTATAGATTTTATTTCCTCAACCGTTGGCTGTGAAAAGAGATGTTGTTTTCACTACACCTTATATGTATGTAAAACAGTAATAAACATTAGCATAGTAGCACACAACCAGGGTAGTGTGCTCACAATGCTTCCATTTTTCAAGTTTAAATTTTTTTTTTTTTTAACATCTAAGCTAAGAACAAGTGTCTTGTAGAATATGCACTAGAATTGTTGAGATGGCAGCTAAGGAACATAACTCAAGTGTCACTCAGATTATGGTGAGGTGAAGTCCCAGCCACGGAGCAGGGCTCATCTCTCCCTGGACACTGCAGGCCCATCCAGGTGTTTTGGCTAGACTCAATTGCAGGAGTTAAATGATTAGCTCCCCTTGGAGCTAAAATTGAAACTGGAACAAGTTAAGTAACTTACTCAAGGTTACGAGTTAGTGGAGAGGCTGGGCTGTGACCTGTCAAGAGGTTTCCTAGGCCTTTACTGAGTGTGTCGGCAACACTGGCCACAAAGACCGTGCAGCCTGTGGTGTGTCCTGGCACAGCCTGCTCTGCTGACAGCCCACCTTACACCGCCCTCTCGGTGAGTCGCTGCAACTCTGACTTCACGCCCAAGGGAGCTGATTTCACTGCTTCTCTCGTGAATTTAGGAATCTAGTGCTTTCCAGCAGGAAGCTTGCTGCATTTCAGGATTGGTGGTATTTTTGTGTGGAGCTACCCGAAGCACTGCAGCATGTCTGTGCCATTCCTGACATCTGCGTTATGACGGCTGACGTAACGGCCAGCCCACCCTCTCTCTGGACCACTAAAATCTGTTTCACCCATTTCCAAATGCCCCTCCAGGAGGATGTCACTGCCCCAAAGCTGGAACCACTGAATATGGACATGGAAGGCAGGCACTGTAGTGTTCAGTGGGGCCTTCCCGCTCCAAAAGGGCAAACTCTTGTCTTCCTCAGACGGTGTATTAGCCACTCAAAGGGTGAAAGCCCCCTTTTGGCGCAAGATCACCACTTAACTAGGTGAATGACCTGAACAAAATAAACTTTTGTTGGAGCCCTAATTTCTCCTACGAAATGGGAATGGGAGTGCACCCAGAAGTCCCTAGTGGACAGGCAAATCGTCCTAAGCTTTCCCCAGCTCTTCCTCAGCCCCCATCCTAAGGAGCTGTAGCTGGCCCTCTGGGCTCTGAGCACATAGTGAGATCATTGCCTAACTTAGCTGCCACATGTTAAGAAGATGTGAAGTCAGTGGAGAGAAGTTGAATCCCAGCTTCAGTGTAATTATCTTCGCTGGCGCAAATGGAGAGGTAGGTGCTGGTCCCCTGAGGGATGACTAGGCGGCTTTCCGATTGTGTAATGGAGAATGTTTCCCTTCACGTTGGAGCTTAAGACTTTGATTTTACTAAACATGAAGTATGTGTCTTGGCTAGTTGGAATTTCTTGTACTTTAAGGTCTCTCAGGGAAATTTGTGGAAGCTGCTTCCATTGACCTCACAAAATGTTATTTAGAGCAAATAAAACTCAATTTGTGGACTCTGAAAGCTTATTCTCTAACTCTGAATTCTACAAACCCAAAGAAACATCTCATAATGATGGTATTTTAACAAGACTCAGGTTATTTCAAATCCCAAGCCACCGGGCAATATTAAAACAAGGGAAGCAGAAATCAAGGCTTTAGAAGCTGCAGGGTTAGCAACCTGTAGGCAAGCAGTGGCCTAAGAACCCAACTGTATCCATAAATCACAGAGTGGCAGGTGGTTCAGGAAGTGAATGCGCGTACCCCGTCGCTGGCAAGGGTCTTCTGTTACCCCTGGGTCATCCAACCTTGTCTCCCTTTGACCATACCAGCCGTATAAAGGGTTGCTGAATGAGTAAGTTGAGTACATTCATGAATGCCGGCCATTTTTACTGGAATTGCTGGCAAGATAGTCAAAGAGAAAACACATTTTGTTCATAGAATTTAAGTTATTTAGCAACATAATAATAAATGGGCGGGGGGAGGGATGACCTGAATTTGAAGCAGCTCCAGTAAGATGCAACTTGCTCATTGGGCCAGTCAGGTTCCCAGATACCTCTGTCCAGCCTTTGGCACAGCTTGCTAGTTAGCTCTGTCGTTACCCTTCCCTGACCCCGCGGTCCATACCCAGAGGTGTCTGCACACCTTTTCCCTTTAGCTTTGAGTAGGTATTATAGTAGGGTTTTCTGTTCCTAGGAGCAAACACATGGCCTAATGGGTCCCTGGAATGTAAATGAACAATACTACAATGGAAGACATCCCCAAGTGAGGCTCCACAGCCCCCATACCCAGCAGCAGCCAAGAATGATTTGATTCCTTGTCCCGGAGCAGTGCTCACCCCACACCCCAAAGGAACTGCTTGGTCCAAAAGATGGAGAAGATGAGCAACAGAGTGACGCTGAGGATGACGGCCATCAGGTAGGCAAAGATCCGGAACTGAGGGTTGCGGAAACACTCCCTCAAGGAGTAGTGGCTGGGGATGGGGATGGGCACAGGCCTGGTGGTGGGGGCCATGTCCTGGGGGGACCCCGTCGGGTTCCTGGGCTCAGGGCCTAGGTCCAGCGTGTACACCCGTGGCTGGCGCAGGAAATAGCAGTTCTTGGGCTGGTCCTTGAGACAGAGCTGACGGCCCTCCAGGATGACATGGTGGGGCTCCAGGCGCAGCAGGGTGAGCATGGCCGTATCTGTAGGCAAGTCAGTGACGGGCTGCCCAGAGGCCAGCACTGTGGGCTGGCGACAGAGGGGACAGAGCAGCCGGCGCCGGACAGGCGTCACAAGGCTGAGGTGGGCCAGGCATTCCACACAGAAGGAGTGGCAGCAGTCCAGCACTTTGGGGGTGTGGAACGTGTTGTTGAAAGGGTTCCAGCAGACAGGACACTCAGCCTCCGGCTCCCGGCCCCGCTGCTCAGCCATCCTCAGACCAGACGCTGGGAGGCCTGGCAGGAAGAAAGGGGAAAGGAGCAGAGGAGCACCTATCAAGCGCTGTCCGTGTGTGGTCCCAGGCTGAGTGTTCTGTGGATTGTGAGAAGGTCTATCACCCATGTTTCACAACTGAAAAACTCAGGTTCAAAAAGGTGGAGTGGTATGTCCCATGTCACCCAGTTCCTATGCTGTCGCAGTTCACCTGGGGCTCCCGCCATGTCCCCCCATCAGGGTGACGGCCTGAGCTGCCCTGCCATTAACGAGGTGCCACTCGAGGAGACTGTATCCCAACTATGGCCATGGATATAAATGCTGCTTAGGCTCCTGTGAGTGTCCTTGGTTGCTTGGACTTCAGGAAGAAGGAGGGAGCCAAGGTCCGGTTTGTGCTAGCGTCCATTATCTCCTTCTCTGATACCTCACATTCCTGACTGGTACAGCGATGGGCTTTGTGAACCCCCTGGTCTGTCCCTCCTCTGAGGACAAATGCCAGCCATCCTGTCCTCTTCCCCTTGGGCAACAGAGCCAACTCTCAAGAGCCCACTGGCCCAATCTCTGTGTCCTGTACTGGGGCGGCCAGGCGGGCTGACCAAGACTCTCCCCCTCGACCTGGAGCTTGGAGAGATACCTGCCCACACCCCCGTCAGCCCTTCCAGAGCCTCCTCCCAGCGCTCTGGCCCATGACCCTCTCTCCCTTTGTCCCAGGAACCCAGAAGGCACCCACCTGGGCTTCCTTGGTCAGGCAGACTACCCTGCAGACCGGAGGTGCCAGTCTCCTCTCCTGAATCCGCAAAGCTTTGGGAGCCTGCCTTGCCACCATTGGGGCCGTCTCCATGGCAGCGCACACACAGCACCTGTAGCTGCCAGGTGGCCCAGCCTGCAGCCTCTGGAGCACACCTGCCTGAAGAGGGGCCAGAGAGTGCCCCGATGGTGGTGTTGGGGGGGGGGGTTTGGGGGCCAGGGGGGTCCTCCAGGGTATGGCAGACAGCCTCCCCTAGAAACCCAGGATCTGCTAGGTTGGAGGTGGTTCCTTCAACAACAGGGATCCCAAGCTGCAAAGGCAGGAGTGACGATTTCCTTTTTCTAGATTGTGGCGAGAGTAAGTGAGCCTTCTGGGCTTCCTCTCTCCTGGGCCCTCATTTAGTTTCTAAAACAGCTGAAACCTCCTTCTGGCACAAAGGGGTTGCCTGCCCTGCCCTTCAGTTGCTGTGAAATTCACCTACTGCACAGGCTAAAACTCTATCAGCTGTGCAAGTCCACTCCGACCCCTCTTCTCTTTTAAAGTGGCCAAGCAGCTGCAATCAGAACACGCCTTTGTTCGGGGACACAATCAGTCTGGCAGGCCCTGCACTCTGAGGTTTTAGGGAGTTGGGAAGGAGCAGGGCTCCCTTCACTTCCTCATTTCAACCAGAAACATTAGGCTTTTCTCACATTGCTCAAGCTAGAGTAGAAATGCCTCTGTCCTAACCACTCAACTTGCAAGTGGGTGACAGAAGTGACTCCCACCTAAGGTCACCCAGCTAGTCCTGGGGACACCAGGCTCCCTGCTGGAGTGTGTTGTCAGGAAGTGTTCACCTTCTCTCAGGAGAGTCCTCAAGGCTCCTGTGGAGGGAACCCAGGAACCTTGGGGGGGAGGGTGAGAGGGTAGTGAACCCCTGATCGGACACCATCAACCCCAACAACTGATACCTGATGCAAACCTGTTTGCAGTCTGTTTTCTGCTAGATCTGTCACCCTTCTGCAGAGGGACAAGGAAGTGGAGACATGCAGGAGACTGGAATAGCTGTAGCCAAAGCCAAAGCAGTTACCAAGGGTCCTCGCCAGTGCCTTCTGTGGTGGGCTGTCTACCTGCAGGCTCACTGTGCCAGGCACGGTGCCAGGCAATGGGCAAATGAAGGTGAACAACAGGCTGGATCTTTTACCCTGTGACATTTAGCATCCAGTGAGGAAGAAACAGTGAGTGATGTGCAGTCAGTCAACCCATAATTTCAGTGAAAGCCATAAGGGGCCAAAGCAAAGTGGGCTTGGGGGGCCGCTGCTTCAGAGGAGGCCACTAGGGGAGAGTTCCCCAAGCAATGATAAGAAAGCTGAGACTGGGCCCTCCCACGTGGCACAGCAGGTTAGGATGCAGCACTGCAAGCTGGCCACAGCCACTACAGTGCAAGTTCGATCCAGGCCCCAGAGGTGACCCACATCATGCAGCAGACCTCTCCTGACCCACTCGCTGCTCCCCTCCGCAGTGTACTTGGTCAGTCAGCATGTTCTGCTCCCCACTTTGTCTCCGATGAAGCTCTCACCACCCCTGTACCTCTGGCCTGTACCCCAGTTCTGTATGCATAAATAAATAAATCTTTAAAAAAAAAAAAGAAAAGAAAGAAATATGAGACTGACAGGACAGTCCATCCAGTCAGGCAGAATAGACAAAGAACCCTCCAGGCCACAGCCTAAAGTGAGAAAAAACTGCTGGATTCAGGGAATGCAGGAGGCCTGGGTGACTGACAGTCCTGGGTGGGGTCAGTGAGAAGGGAATCAGGGTGGAGCAGAGGGCAAGAGGCAGGGGCTCAGGAAACAGAAACACATCTGGAGCTTAACCTAGGGATGAGTAGTGTCAGGGGTGACTTATTTCTGTTCTAGAGACGCCAATCTAACAGGGCAGGGAGCAAGCAGGCAGAGAGTGGAAATGGAGACCAGGCCGGGATGGTGGCTCTGGAAGTGTCAGGCGGTGACAAATGAAAGGAATCAGGTCTAAAACATCTCTGGAGAGGGAGTCAAAAGAAGCAAGGGGCAGGAGAGATTCAAGGCTCGTGAGCCCAGCTGCATTGTTTAACCTCTCTGTTCCTCAGTTTCTTCCCCTGGAAAGGAAACTAAAAGTAGTATATCACAGGGTAAAGATAGAGACTATCTTTAGGAGGAAATTGGCATTATCCCTACAAATGGATTTGAGAGAGAAGGTTCAATTCAAGGCCATGAAAAGGTGTCTGCACTGAGTTTTGCAAAGCCCCTGAATTTCAGAATGTCCTGATCGCAATTCTTCATAGGTACACAGCCTTGATTCAGCAGTTCCCCACTGGGAACCAGTCCCGGGGAAATAATCAAGGCCTGAGCAAAGATTTGATTACCGAGATACCAGTCAAAGCCTTGCTCCAGCGTGAGATCTTGAAAATAACCTAATTAGCCAAAACTTGGAGAATGATTAAATAAATTCTGTCCCATACATACAGAGAGACATTCTCTCTATCACATTAATATGGAAATCTGTCTGTGATGGAATATCATTAAGTGAAAAGAACCAATATCAAAATCTTATTATATTATAGTCCAATTTTCCGTTATCTGTGTGCAATGGAAAAAAGCTGGAAAAACAAACACCAGATATCAAGAGGGGTTATCTGGGGGGTGGGAGCAGGTAAGATTATAGCTTTTTTTTTTTTTTTTAAGATTTTGTTTATTTGTACATACAGAACTGGGGTACAGGCCAGAGGCTCAGGGGCGGTGAGAGGCTTCACCAGAGACAGAGTGGGGAGCAGAACAGGCAGATCGCTGAAGTACACTGCTGAGGGGAGCAGCGGGCGGGCCAGGAGAGGTCTGCCACGCCATGTGGTCTCCTCCAGGGCAGGCGGGAATCGAACTCATGCGGAAGTGGCTTTAACTTCTCAGTGCAGTGCTTTAACCCGCTGCGCCACCAGGGAGGGCCAGATTATAGCTTTTTTTTAAGTGTCTAATCTAAAATATTTAAGTTCATAAGGCTTCCCCCTCCCCCACCAAAGCAGACATGACAATTCTCAACTGCCAGGAGGAAGCTGGACAGGGCAGTTCGGAGGACTGATCTGACTAGTCCCTGGATCGTACCTGCAGGGGGCTCCTCAGGAATCCACCATTGTTTCAGGCACCCCTGGTCAGAGTCCAGTGCCTCAAGGAGAGATCAGCTCTGTATCCACCCACCACTCACCCCAGGACACATGAACACCACCCCAAAGGGACCACCTTGGTCTCTGAACCAAGTCAGTGATCACAGACTCATTACAGCATCCTCCCAGTATGTTCAGCCACAAGAGATAAAGAACTAACATTGTTATAAAGGGCCCCCCAGCCCCCATCCTTGTTTGGATCTGGTATCGTGGTTCCCATCTACATGGGCCACCTGCCCCTTTTACAGTTTTTTCCATTTACATCAGGCTAATTGACTCTTTCAGATCCGCACTGTGAAGGAGGCAGGAGTACAACTTGTGCTTTGGAACCAGATTCCTTGCTGTAAAAATCTTGGACAAGTGGCTTAGCCTCTCTGAGCTTCATTTTCCTCTATAAAATAGCCTAATAGTCCCACCTTCCAGGAGCTCTGTGATGAGGGAATCATGTTTGTGATGTGCCCAGCAAAGCACAGCAGGTGTCCTCTGCCCCCATTTTTATATTTTTCTGCCCATTTAGTGGATGGGGAAGTCAAGTCTCCAAATGGTGAAGTGGCCTGCCAAGATTTAAAAGAATGGCTGGGGCTGAAAGGTGATTCCAGAATCCCTGCCTCCCAAGCCAGTGTTCACCCCCTGCCATGCTGCCCCTCAGGACCCTGAGCCCTGAGCCCACCCTCCCTCTCGTCCCAGGCTCCTTACCTGTGCCCTGGAGCCCTGGGAGCGGCCTCTCTTCCTGAGCCAGTCTGCTCTGGGCTCAGCCTGCCTGGGCCTGGTTTCCAGGCAGTGGTGGGCGGGTCTCATTTGCATGGGGCTGCTGGCAGCTCCTGGCAGCCTCTCTGTGTCAGGTTTTCCTCTTCCTTCTGATAACTGGACTGTGGGCTTACAGAGGACAGCTAGAAGCTTGGGCTTTATCTTCTTCCTTGAGTCACTCTGGCTTTTCCTCTAAGGGAGTGGGAGTCCATTCACCCGTGCAGCCGCGGATCCGCTCCGGTCAGCCTGTCCCTACTCTGGCCCTCTGCCTCCTGACCCCGCTGCCATCTGTGCCTTGACTCAGGTACAGCTGGAATTCGGTGGGAGGCCACTTGTGACCCTCAGAGAGAGGCTGCCCTATCCT